AAATAAATTACATTTTACAGACAGTATATTCACATAGAAAACAGTTATTTTAAATTATTGTAATATTTCAGTTTTTACTGTATTTATGATCAATATATAATAAATGCAGCCTTATTGAGCAGAAGAGACTCCTTTCAAAAACTAATTTAATTAAACATTTTAAATATATGTAAAAAATATACACATATTTATATTAAAATTATTAATAACACTTTAAAAATGTAATTATTTGAAAATTTAAAGATTTAGATAATTTTAGATAACATTTCACACACACACTTGTGTTAATATAACATTTTCACTTTCAGTGGCGAAAGTGAGTGGAGTAACGATGCTGAAAAAGACTTGACTTAAGCAAGAGGTAAAATTAAAGAGGTAAACTGCTTAATTAAAGCTAATAATTAAAGCTCAAAGTGAAACATTCTATATATGTGACTTGGCAGTCAGGTAAGAGACTCAGTAGTTTTCCTTAGCATGTCATCTGAAGACATCGACCAGTGGAACAAGGTGATCGAGCAGCTGGGCACACCGTCTCAGGAGTTCATGCTGAAGCTCAACCAGTCCGTGAGGACCTACGTGGAGAACCGGCCCCGCTATGCTGGATACAGCTTTGAGAAGCTCTTCCCAGACGTGCTCTTCCCTGCAGACTCCGACCACAACAAACTGAAAGGTGAGGGAGACGTCTTTAACATTTAGACCTGCCATAAAGCGCTCTGTTGTTTTATAGTGCTCTGTTACTCTGTAGATATTGATTTTTGTAGCCTGCTATTAGAAATGGAAAGTTCTGATTGGATGAGCCATGTTCAAAGATGCAATAAACTACCAAGAGTTAGGCTAATGATGTGTGTTTTGCTTGAATACCCAGCCCTAAGTGTATGCAGTGTTTAGTATATCTTCTTGCTACTCCATAGTTTGCAGCTCTAAACTATTGGCTATATAGAAAAATTCCTGTTTCAAAATGAAATATGTCGACACGGGAAACTGTGCTTATCAAGCCAATGCATGCGATCTTTAACCATTGTAAAATTACTTTAATCCATGACTTACTAATGACTCGTTGCTTTATTTAAAGATGCCTTCAGTTCACAATTCAATTTGGCTTCTCCAGACGCACACTGTTGTTTGTTTCGCTTCATTAAACTCTCATCAAGTCGCAGTAATCCAAGAACGGCATGATTGTCCATGGCGAATTTCCTCTCAATTCAGGTCCTGATTTAAATGCAATTATTTTGCAGCGAGTCAAGCGCGAGAGTTGTTATCCAAAATGCTGGTAATAGATGCGTCTAAACGAATCTCGGTGGACGAGGCCCTCCAGCACCCCTACATCAACGTGTGGTACGACCCGTCAGAAGTGGAAGCGGTGAGTGCTTCAGTGTTCATTATTGGTGCTGGTTCAGAGTCCAGATGGGAGCTTGCGCTGCATGAGCTCTCCAGAGAGAAGGACTGATGGAGCACCTGACGTCTTCTTTTCTTTCCTCTGTGCCGTATCTGATTGACATTTATCTGCTCGGTTTCAGCCGCCACCGGTGATCACGGATAAACAGCTTGATGAGAGAGAACACACAGTGGAAGAGTGGAAAGGTGCGCTTTTTATTTTAAATCATTGATTGTCATAAAATCATAATATTTAGTCTGTGGTGAGTTAAAGGTATGACCAAAATTAATTAGCTAATTTCAATAATGACTAATTTAATATCAAGCTAACTGTATATATCACAATATGTGTGTGTCTGTGTGTGTGTCTGTGTGTGTGTCTGTGTGTGT